ACATGCACGCTTATTCCTGCACAACATCCTGGGAATGGCTCGTATTGGCCTATTTAGATGGCTCTTAGTGGCCTCTTCATTCTTAGTTTCAATTTCTCACGAGCCTTGATTATTCATACGTTTGATAAATCTTATTTGTTTAGCGCACCAAAAAGATATACAGTGTAAACTAGGCTTTAGTCTGCATTTAGGAAGCGCGCTATCTTCGCTATTTCATTATCATTATTGCTAATTAGATATAAGTAAAACAAAGATAGAGTGACGCAACAACGCGGTAATAACGCGCATTTGAACGCTTTAGCACGCTATTATATAAACGAAGAAAATAATACATGAATAATAAATCAAATTGAATAATAATAAATCAAATTGTTTCTCAAAAATATCAAAAAAATTCGTTGCACGCATTTAAAAAAAATTTCTTTGGTTTTTCTGAGTTCAAAATATTTGTTTCACACTAGGTATTAAAAAAAATAACTTGCAAACACGAATCCTTTACCTTTTAAAAATTACACAACTTACTTTATATTATACTGATGTATTGGTATTGCAGTTTTAGTGCAAGAGTTTTGTGCAAACCTGAAGATGAATTTGCTCAATATCTTAGAATATTTTCTGAGCTGATTTCCTTCAGTTGAGCACATCGGTTGTGAAAAACAAACCATATATATCGGTACTTCAATAAGTATCCCACTAATAATCTATAATAGTCTTTTTTTTAATGCTGTTTAATTTTTTACGTATTACCCATCAACCGTACAAGCAATTTTTCCAAAATATCAATAGTTAGCGTTAGCATGGTTAGACGGATACCACTTAAAAACTGTAAATCCAATGAAATTGAAACTAGAGAATTCTGACTTTTCCAGGTTGAGAATTTGAACGTTAAGTTTGAGAATTAGCAAGCATATTCCATAAAAAAACGCATGCCATAAAACCTCAGGATAAATTAATGAGAAAGTCCACTTCGCGCTCTAGTGATAAGATATGATATTAATGCGTTCATTACATACATGAACATTAATTATTGATAGCACATTACCAGAGATTTTCTGTAACACTTACCTTTGTAATATATTTAACATCATCGCCACCAAATTATCAATATTCTCTTTAGTACACTCATTCTTTAAGATTTGAATACAACAATCCGTAAGTTCAGTCTCATTATATTTATCAGCTAAGACTAATAAATCTATAATTAAAAAAATTGTTGCTTTAATACTAGAGTGTCCAATGAGATAAAGAAACAACAATAGATAATCACGATATACAGGGTGTCCGACAATTACTTTAACATTTCTTGTAGGCAGGTAGGAGAAATAAAACTGAGTCGAAAAATCCTATATTATTTTGTGAGATTCGCAATATGTTACGTCCCAGATAGCCAAATGTGAAAACTCAATATAAAGCAAATCATTGTATAGATTAAGTTGCTCGCCAATTGCTGTTGTGTTGTTTTTATTTAATGCAATGAAAATGTTTTTGTCAATTCAGTATCAATATGCTGAGTTTTATTATCAATCAATTGTTGTAGCCAATGTTTATGACAAGTGAGTCAACAATGTGTGAGCAATATGTGAGCAATAATTTTTATTCATAAGTTGAGAAAAATAATATAAGTTTATTGCCGATGAGTTGTTGGGAACTTGCTGTTATTATATTTTGAAAACTGTTGCTGGCAAGAACATACTCAAAAGAGGATACACCATTTCGTACATTGCTGAAAACATATGAGCAATATTTGTGGCAAGTTGCCAACAACTTGCACTCAGTTGGCTATCTGGGATCTTACTTACAGCCCGATGCATGCTTATTCGTGGAACTTTGTTAATTAAAATCTCGGTAACTATTGCGAATCTCGCAAAATGATATAGGACTTTTCGACACAGTTTTACTTCTTCTACCTGCCTACGAGAGATGTTAAAATAATTATCGGACACCCTGTATATATGTAAAATAAACCTACCGAATGTTTTCTCCACAGAAAGATCGATTTTGCCAGTATATAAATACTTCAGAAAACATTTATAAATGTCGTAAGAAAACTCATCGTGTTCGATGACACTATAGAAAAAACATCAACATGTAACGAAAAGCTTGAAAATTTTAAAAAGAACATTACAATATCGATATTCTCTTTCGCGATTGCTTACCTTTGATTACTTTTCTTCCATTCTGTTTGTTGAAACATGTTTCTAAAATACTTACTGCGAATATTTAAGATAACTTTGTGAACATGAATAGATTGACCCTGTACTCGTATTGTTAAATCGCTCAGCGACTATTTCAAAAAAATAGTAATTATTAAATGTTCAATATAAAGGATTTTTCGATGATCTTGACCTTGACATATGTTGTCAAGGACATGTCCTTGATTAACAATCAAAAGGTTTTAGCCGTCGCTCATTTTTTATTAAAAAGTTATTAGCAAAAACTGTTTGAAAAACATGGTACTTTATTTTTAGTAATAACATGTAAAATAACGAAATGGAATACGAATATTTTTCCTTTCTTATTATTTCTGAGAACACTATATAGCGGAATTTATTTTTAAACGTAAATATACTTATCATGAACGGATTGATATGTTTTTCAACATTTATGGTTAAGTTGTATCCAATGAACAAAAACAATATTCAATAAATGTATTACAAATACTAAACAAAAATATATTCAATACAATTTATTCAGTAATATGTAAGGTTTAGTCGTTTAACGCGTGGTAAGATGGCGCTCTTTCTGACGCCTACGTGCAATGTGGCGACATAGTCGACCCGAAGGCCCATGCACTGAGCATGCGCACTGCGAAGCGAGCGCGGACGGCCATGGAAACGAGCGGACGGTTGGTGAACTTGTGCGGACGTGAAAAGAAGCGGGAATTGTCGAGAGGCAAGTGTTTTCGGAAGGCGTCTGATGGGCGAGTTGAGAGACGATGTAGGGGCAGTTGCGATCTGGCTCGTGGCGCGAAAGGCTCGTGGTCACGTATTTGTGAAAGTGTTACTCAATAAAAGTTCAAAGTGTTTCGTATAAGTGTTTCACCCTCACTCTTCCCCACACGCTCTCTACATCTGTGGCTGACAGCTCCGTTCCTTTACGTTAGAGAGGTCTAATCTCGCTGAAGCGATTAATACTCTCGACGCCAGGATTCCTCGTCAAAAGAAGACTCCCCTGCTGTCGCCTAGAACATTCACTCTTGGCCATTCGTACAAACCCATTCATCCAACATTCTCACACACTAACGCATACATACCAAAGAAGCGTTTGCTAAAAGCAATCATATCTTACAGCTCAGAAGTGGGATGGATTGCTTGGATCTATAGAGGATAGATTGCTTGGATCTATAGAAAATTGTGAGATTTTGAGTGATACACATAGGCATATCTCTCGTTGAACATTGTACACTTCATCACAGTGATAGCGTAGTGCAGTGATTATCGCGATTTCGCAGTATCGTTTACAGCCGAGTCAAGCCATTTTGGAATCGGAGAAGCGTCGGCTCCGCCATTTTGAAAATCGGTAACGCGGACCCCTCGTTTTTGTTTTCTCTCTTCCGTTTTTGCCTGTTATCATGGATCGTCAACGACTTGAACGTTTAACGTTCAATGAACTAAAAGAAGAACTAACCAAATATGAACTACCTTCTCAAAACACGAGAGCTAAATGCATTGACGCCTTGATGGCTCATTTTGAGAGGCATATGCCGAGTGATTTCGTAAACTCCGACAATACCGNTCAACAAATGGTGTGTGAAAAGCAGCCTGGTGAAGCACGTTTTCAGTGTACAAAAATATCGGCTGCGGGTGATAACCGTGCGTTAAGTGGTGGTGCGTCGGATGCAAATCTAGCAGCTCTTGGTTCGGTTCAACCTCCTCAGTCCGACAACGCAATAGTTAAAATTTTAGAAACTTTGACGGTGAACCTCAGACAACAACAGGAGCAAATGAGGTTGCACCAAGAAACTTTGAATCATTTAGTGGCTCTCAACTGTACAGTGAGGACTCCCCCTGGTCCGTCGGTAGCTCACGTTGAGCCACCTCGACTAAATAATATAACGACGGATCATACAAGGAGCCCTACACTGTCAGCACTTCCTCCGGCTCAAGCGGTAAAACTTTTGGCCTCGCAAATTCCCGACTTCAAGGGATCTGAAGACGAAGAAGTCGACCTATGGATAAGCAAGGTAGAAAAAATATCGAATATTCACGGAGTGTCTCAGGATGTAACGTTACTGGCCGCCTCAAGCAAGCTGACAAAGGCGGCTAGNAGGTGGTTTGACTTGTCGATGGGCTCGGTGAACGAGTCGTGGGACAACTTTAAGTCTGCGATTATCAGTCGCTTCCAACGTTCTTTGCCGTACCATCTGATTATTCAACGGGTTGAAGCCCGGAGGTGGAATTCATCTAAAGAATCCTTCTTGGAATACGCGAACGACAAGCTGGCATTGATGCATCAGTTAAAGTTACCAGACGCGGACACTATACTTTTCCTGATTAACGGAATAAATAATTTCAGTTTGCGCAACACGGCGTCAGCGTTAAGAGTAGAATCAGTGGATCAGTTTCTAAATGAAATGCATCGGATCACAGTTATGAGTGCCGACACATCAAGGAAGATCCACACTCCATCGACCAAGTTAGACAAAAGCAGAGGAACTACAAATACATCACCTAGGCCTGGTTCTCCAAAGAAGACAAATAAAGATATATTTTGCGTGTACTGCAAGACCAAAGGTCATCTTCGTGCTGATTGCTACAAACTCAAGAGGAAGGAACAAAGTTCGTCTCAGACAGGACCATCACTTCCGGTTGCAGCCGTTGAAACTTCAACAAAGGAAAAAGTCGATGAAGTGGAGGAGATATCCAATGCGGTAGCTTGCGTCAGTATTAAAGGTGACACGAAATTGGAAATTAGCGATTACGTACTTTTTATAAATGCAATTAACAATGTTCCTTGCCGGCTCCTTGCCTTAATTGTCACAGGAAGCCCCGTTTCGTTTATAAAATCTTCCGTTTGTAAAGCGATAGGTAAGAACGCGAATATTAATAGACTTTCAACAAGTTCGTATACAGCCGTGAATAACGCGCCGATTACAGTCCTGGGCTTAGTGCACGCGACGTTAAAATTAGATTTACTGAAAAACTTGGTAACTCACGTAGACTTACAAGTTATTGAAAATGATCATTGGCCAACGGATATTATTCTTGGGCGCGATTTCATCGCGGTTAATCAGATTACCATGATTTATAAACCTGTAAATAATGATTTGAATACAANGTTACAATTGTTATCGGAAGTTGCCTCAGCCGACGTAATTGATAAAATTGACGACAAAATCGGCTTCAACCCCTCGGATATTGAAATAGATTTTGGTGATCAAGTTAAAAATAAATTAATCAATTTAATAAATGAAGTTGATCAATCTCCGATAGAAAAAAGCGACCAAGAAGAATATCTCGTTAAAATTAATTTAAAGGACGAATCAACGTTTGCATATGCTCCCAGACGATTCGCTTGGACAGAGCGTCTACAGATACGCGAAATAACTGACGACTTACTCAAACGTGGAATAATAAAATTCAGTAGCTCACCGTATTGTGCTCGAGTGGTTCCGGTCCGCAAAAAGAATGGAAAGCTACGCCTTTGCGTGGATTTACGTCCCCTTAATGACAGAGTAATAAAGCAAAAATACCCTTTCCCTCTCATAGAAGATTGCCTCTCTAGATTAAACGATAAAAGAGTATTTACATTACTTGACCTTAAGGATGGCTTCCACCAAATAAAATTGCACCCGGACCATATGAAATATTTTTCGTTCGCTACACCAGANGGTCAATATGAGTATACAAGATTACCTTTTGGCTTTTGCGAATCCCCTGCTGAATTTCAAAAAAGATTGGTTCAAATTTTACAACCTCTTTTGAGAGAAGACAAAGTCATTATTTATATTGATGATATTCTGGTACCATCTAAATCGGTTGAAGAAAACCTGGCCGTTCTTAAACAAGTAATGTTAATACTCAAAAATNACGAGTTTGAATTGAATTATAAGAAATGCCATTTCTTAAAGACAAAAATAGAGTATCTAGGTTATACGGTATCAGCTGACGGGATAACGCTAAGTGACCATCACGTACAGGCGGTTAAGAAATTTCCCACCCCGTCTAAAACGATTGAAGTACAGCGGTTTTTAGGCCTTACAAATTACTTCCGTAAATTCATACCGGAGTATGCTAGCAAGGCAAGACCTCTGCAAATGCTACTACACAAAAACGTTAAGTTCGATTTCAACAAAGAATGTCGTAGCGCGTTTGAGCTACTTAAACGCGAATTAATTTCCTACCCCGTTTTGCGCTTATATAACCCGCAATTGCAGACGGAATTACACACCGACGCAAGTGCGGTGGCTTTAGCCGCGATATTGATGCAGAAACAGATTTCCGGCACTTGGGCGCCAGTCGCATATTATAGTCAAGCAACAAATAAATCTGAGGCCAACTATCATAGCTTCGAATTGGAAATGTTAGCAGTTGTAAAAGCTGCTGAAAGATTTCATATTTATCTATATGGCCTATCATTTACCGTAGTTACAGACTGCCATGCTCTGGTGTACGCTGTCAACAAAGCGCACTTAAATCCACGCATTGCGCGGTGGATATTACGCTTGCAAAATTACCGATTTCAAGTAGCACATCGGGCAGGTCGGAAAATGCTGCACGTAGATGCGCTAAGTAGAATAAGTGCTTATGTAAATGCCATCCCGTTAGAAAGAGAACTTGAATATCGACAGCTACAGGATGCACATCTTAAAGAGATAGCCCAACACTTAGAAAATGCCGATCATGAAAAATATGAACTCGTTGAAGGNCTTGTATATAGAAAATGCTCAGATAAACCACGATTTGTAGTACCTGAGGTAATGATAAATAACGTAATACGTGTCTATCATGACGACATGACACACTGNGGTCTTGAAAAAACATTACGAGGAATCCAATCAAATTATTGGTTCCCCGCAATGGTTAAACGCGTGCGTGATTACTTAGACAATTGTTTGACGTGTCTAATGTCTAACTCTTCTACAAATTCTAGAGAGGGTGAGCTACAAATTTCAGATACTCCAACTAAACCCTTCCAGGTATTACATGCTGATCACTTCGGTCCCCTTACCGAAACAGCNAAAGGATTTAAACACATTTTGATAATAATAGATGCCGTTACAAGATTTACTTGGGTTATTGCTGTTAAGTCGACTAGCGCTAAAGAATCAATTAAACATTTTACATCTTTGTTTAACATTTTTGGAAACCCTCGG